AGCTAAGCATTTCCATTGTGAAGGCTTGCAAAGCCCTTTACAAATATTTCGTTTGATCCTCACCATAGCTCTGGGAGGGAATAAGCATCATTCCCACTTTACAGGTGAGGAAACTGAGGCAAACAGGTGAAGTGACTTGCCCAGGGTCACCCATCAGAACTTAAACACCAGAAGCATCAGGAGTGACCATTTGCGTTCTAAATGGATCACAGACTTTATCAAAGACCAATTTGTAAAAACTCTCTTTGCCTTTTGGGCAAACGTGGTGTCCCATGGACCAAGTCCAGCCTGCGTGGAGCTGTTCCTGGGCTGTTGGGCGAAGCAAGATGCCCTGCTGAAGATCTAGCAGCAGAGCCAGGGCCAGAGCCATGTCTGCATCGATAGATGGAATTCCAAGTGGAGGAAATCCCCTTTTCCCATGCAGGTCGGCACCCTCTCTGCCTTGGAGAGTTTCCCAGAGCCCCAAGAAGCCAAGTGACTGGCCGTGGGTTCCCCAGCCAGGCAGGATGACTGTCTGGGTCAAAAGCCAGACTGGCCTTCAGTCTAACGATCTCGCAGACCTCCTCTGACCCAGACATCAACTGCCTCTCAGTCAGAGTTGAACAGAATCAAATGACTGAAACTGAGAAAATTCACCAAGTGACAGTCCAAAGGTGTCTCAAGATGATGTCTGGGGCACACAGAAAACTCCCTGAGCTGTGGACCTCTGGGGGACATCAGGAGTTTTTCTTCCCAGACTGAATTTTTAGCACAGAATTGTCCAAAAGGACGGTTTCTCCCCAAACAGCTAATGTCATTATAGACGGTATTAAAAGAACAAGGAATTCCTTTGTACTTGGCCCTAGTCAGACGTGTGAAAGGACGTAGTTGGACTCTGGGGCCCCTCTCAGACCTGACATCCCCTGTTCTGGGGCCCCTTCCAGCTATGACATTCCCCTGTTCTAAGGCCCTCCCAGCTGTGACATCCCCTGTTCTAAGGCCCTCCCAGCTCTGACATTCCCTATTCTAAGGCCCCTCCCAGCCCTGACATTCCTTGCTCTGAGGCCTTTCCCAGTTGTGACATTCCATGATCTAAAATCCCTCCCACTTTAGCCCTTCCCCAACTCAGGCATTCTAAGCTCTGAGGTTCTCCTCAGGTCCAATAATCTGTGATTCTATAAGATACTTTCCTGGCCGTTGCGTTCAACTTTTAAAAGGGTAATCAGCCTACTACAGCATGTCTGGAAGAGGCTGGCCAGGAGGATGAAGGGAGCCAGGGCCTCTGAGGGCACTGCCAATGTTTCCACTGGAGAAGGGAAGCCTTGTTGGGATGTGAGGGCCATCCTCACATGTGTGAAGGGCTTGGGCTTGTCTGGTCTCTCCAGGAGGCAGAAGGGAGGCCGGTGGATAAGAAGTCAGAGTGTGGCAGATTTTCACTCCCTGTAAAGACTCACTTCCTTAACCACTGGATTTATGCGAGGTACTAGACCACCTAATGAGGCAGTACGCTCGCGTGGGGGGGTCAGGGGAGGCTTCCTGGGGATGGGGGTGGGGGGGAAGGGTCTGAGGTGATCCTTGAAGAAAAGGATGAAGGGACAAAAGGAAGGTTCCTCGAGGGAGGGAAGAGGAGGGGGCAAGTCTACTTTGTGCAGGGGATTGAGCAAAGATGTGGCAACAGGAGAGGGTGGGACGAGTCAGGGAACTGGTGGTGGTCTGGGCTGGCTGGAGTGTAGATCGCATGAGAAGGCTGGGCCCATGGTCTGGAGCCATATTGTGGAAGTCCTTGAATGCTGGGTTGAGTAGCCATTTCCTCTTTGTTATAAAGGTTTAAGGAGGAGGAGGAGGATCTGTTACCTTCTCTATAGGTGGGGGAGCACCTGGGGGAGGTGATGGCCTCTACTGAGCCTGGGGCCTTGTGGGTGCTCCATGAATGATTGATTGCACCACCATGGAAGGGGTCTGTACCCCCCCCACCTCCTCCAGAGCTCCAGCCGAAGTCTCTGGCTCAGTCCCAGCCAAGCTCCATCCATTGTCTTCCTACTTATCATCTGTGAATGGCTCCCTGATTCAGGGGCAGGGGATTGGCCTTAGTCACAGTGACAGGGTGGGAGCTTCCCAAGCATCCGGCCTCAGCGTCGGGAGCCCACAGCTTGGACCCAAGAGTAGACTTGTCATCATCCCCATCATGTGCTCTCAACCTTCGTGAAAAAGCCTTCACTAAGTGTTAGTCTGCAGACCAGGCAGTCTTGGTCCAAAGCCGACCAGACCAGCATGAACATACCCCTAGAACGCAGGCAGCGAAGGGGCACAGGATAGAGACAAAGCAGGCTGTGACTAGGTAAACTGAAGTCATGGTGTTCATTCCAGGCCAAAGATCAGAGAAGTTCAAGGTGGGGAGAATGATGAAAGGTATCCTCTTACCTGGACAGAAATTGGGGGCAGTTATTATCACAACTGTCAGCAATAACTCCTCTAGGGTTTTGCTTTTCAAGCTTTCCACTCCATACCCTCACCAGGTAAGGTTATGGTTACCCCCGTTTTACAAAAAAGGAAACCGAAGCTCAGAAATAGGAAATGACTAGCTTGCAAATGGTAGGTTCCTTATACACACACCTGGGGCAGCTAGGTTGCACAGTGGATAGAGCTCTGGCCTTGGAGTCAGGAGGACCTGAGTTCAAATCTGGCCTCAGACACTTGACACTTAACTAGCCTTGTGACCCTGGGCAAGTCACTTAATCCTGATTGCCTCACCAAAAAGCAACCACAACAAAAATTAACCCTTACACACATACCCCCCCCCTTCCTTTTTGGTCAGAGAAGGAGCAGTATCTTTGGAGGGCGATGCCTTTCCCAATCCCTTCTACCCTGAGGAGGCCATGGCTGTGTGCCAGCCCTGGCTGGGGCCCAGCTGAGGCCCTGCTGTTACCACTTCCCTCAGTGTACAGAGGTCTCAGTGTTTGTCAGAGCAGAGGGAGCCTGGACCTGGCCTCTGGTTCACATTTCACCTGCAAACTTTCTGATGAAGACAGCCCCTTCAGCAGAAGCCACCTGCCCCTTCCCAGTGCGGCCAGGGTCTCAGTTATCGGCAGAAACAGGGTGAGATGAAGACAAGGCCCCAGGGGAAGCGCTCAGCTTCTTTGGGGGGTGGGGTGGGAAGAACCAGCAAACAGGACTTCACTTTCCCTTTTCTTCTCCGTGGAGGTGGGTGGAGGTGGCGGGACTCCTCGGGGACTGCAGGAAGGATGTCTGAAGTCACCTGCGCTAACCAGAGAGCTCCTCCAGTCCTGGCGTCTTCCAGGTGCCTGGGACCATGCCTTATGGAAAGTGAGGTCCGGGGATGGAAGTTGCCCTAGGTCATTCAGCATGGAGGGTTACAGAGCCAGGCCTAGCACTGCACTCTCCTGATTCACGTGCTTCCCCTATGCCGCCCCACCTCCCAGTCCCCCAAGAGCCCTAATATAAGAATCAGAGCTGGTAGGGCGAGCGTGGGCCGTGGGTCATCTGTCGGGCGACTTACCCATTCCGGCTGGTGAAAAACTGAGATTGGTGCTTGTCTGATTGGTGAGCCAAGACCCCCCTGAGACGGTATGTAACAGCTTCAGAAGACAGGGAGGCATATCATTGCATCTTAGGCTTGGCACCCCAGAGGAGATCTGAGAAGCAAGGTGCCTGACCTCCCATCCTCGTTTTGTGGATGAGAAGGGCTGAAGGACTTTACTGAGGTCACTCAGGCAGTAAGGGAGCTGGCTGGTGTTGGAGTGTGAGGTTCTGCCCTGCGTAGGGTAATGTCATTGAATAAACTTTGCCCTCCCTTTTCCAACAGTAAAGGCTCCTTCCTGTGGCACTTCTCATTCTGTCCACTTAATCCTTCACCCCAGGGTTTGAGGGTCTCAACACAGGAGTGCCCGGGGCCTTCGCGCCTTGTTGGTCCCATAGGAAACCGAGCAGAGTGGCAGGATGTTTTTTAAAGAGACTCATGAAATGTCAGAGCTGGATAGAACTTTAGAGATGATCTCATCCATTTTCTAGATGAGGAAATGGAGGCTGAGAGAGGGCAGATAACCCAGCCAGTCAGGCCCAGCTCCTCCCCAGCGCCTGCAGCCCAGAATCCCTTTGGAGGGGAGGATGCTTCACAGAAGCGGTCTGACTTTAGGAGGTCCTAGGCCTCAGTGGCTGTATGTGCAGTAGTGGCCACTCAGTCCCGACTGGGGACAAGTCATGGTCAGGCCATGGGAGGCCATGGGAAGGATGAGGCCAGCAGGATGGCGCTTTGGAAGGCATTGGTCCTTGTCTTGTGAAGCCAGTAGGCAGAGTTCTTGATGCCCCAGGGACTCCGTTCCTTCCTCTTTAGAAGAGGGCAGGTAGACTTGATTGGCAGTGTGGTCAATGGAGACAGACCACTGGGCTGGGAGTCGGAGGACCTGGTCTCAGGCCTGGTTCTTAACTAGCTGTGTGACCTTGGGTCAGTCACTGCCTTCTCTAGGTCTGTTTACCCATCTGTAAAATGGGAATTAAAATCAAATGGGGACAAGAATTCCTGCATGACTATATGTGGTGTATATGTAGGGCTTTGTAAACCACAGAATACTACGATCCTGAAGGCCAGGGAGCAAATGTCTGCCCGCCCCTCACATTGTTGGAGCCCCTTTCCCCAGGAATTCACTTCCTTGTGGCTTTTAGTATATCTACAACAGAGGGTAAAGCCCGTTTGTCCCTGTTGGAGAAACTGAGGCATAGGATGGGCAGTTGACTGGGTTCCCTTCAAACACTCTGTTCGTGACAGAGCCAGGAGTGGACTGCTGGAGTCCTGGGGCCCTCTTGCCCCCGCCAGCCTGTGCCAACCTCCCTTTCAGTGAGAGCCCTCTCGGGGACCTTGCCGAAGCTCTTTTGCCAGCCTACCTCTCAAGGGCACTTCTCTTTCCTCTCCGTCCTTTTCAGTGCCCTTCTTGGGGGCCTCGCTGACGCTTCTTGTGCCAACCTTTCTCTCAATGCTGTTTCTCTTTTCTCTCCCTCCTTTTCAGTGCCTTCTTGGGGACCTTGCTGAAGCTTTGGAGGACTCTGAGCCCCAAGTTGGTGGCAGAAGCCCTGGTGGGGAGGAAGAGGGACATCCAGGCAGAAGGCCGCAGCACTTGGTGAGGTGGGATGGGGGACCAAGCCCAGCTGACCGCAGACCCCGTTTTCTTCCAGACGGAGGGAGAAGAAAGCAAGAGCAACACCCCCAGCCCTGGGAAGATGCAGTTCTTCGGCCGCCTGGTCAGCACAATTAGCAATGTCACCAACTTGTTTTCCAACCCCTTTCGGGTGAAAGAAGTACCTGTAGCTGACTACAGAGCCTGCGTCCAGCTCAGGGAAGAAGGCCAGTTGATTTTGTTCAAAAACAGCAGTCATCGCACCTGGGACTGCCTGCTAGTGAACCCCAGGTCCCCGCAGAATGGATTCCGGTGGGTGGTAGGCCCCGGCGCTTCTTTTCCTTTACTCCTGATGGTGGTGGCCATAGGGGAATGTGGTCGGTTCGGAGACCACCGCTCAGCTAAGAAACAGAGCTTGGAAAGTCTTACAGGGTCACAGATTTAGAACTAGAAAGGGGCCACGTAGTATGGCCTCCTCATTGGACAGTTTAGGAAACTGAGGCCCAGGGACAAGGTCACACAGTGGTAGGACTAGGATTTGAAACCAGTCCTTTGAACTGAATCCATTGGTCTTCCTGCCGTACCACATTCCCATGTGCTGGGCCCGAGAGGCGGTGTGAGCCGTGGAGGGGAGAACAGTACATTGGGGATCAAGAGACACTTTGGTTCCAATCTCAGTTCTTTCTGGCCCTCTGAGATACTGCAGTCCAAGCTCTCTTCTCCTCCACGGTGGTGGCTGCCAAATCATGTGTGATCCAGGCGGTGGCTCTTCTGTCCGTGAATTCTTGTGGGTGTTTGGGGGGTTATTCTCCCTCTTTTGGGCATCCCTGGTCTCATAATAGTGCTTTATCTTTTTTTCTGTTACCTCATTCTTCCAGCCTTACTTCCTGGGACGTCACGTTAGGGTCAGGCATCGCTTACATTTTGGCTGTTATGGGCTTGTACGGTCTTGGCCTCCCTTGCCTGGGGTTGAGAGGCTTGGGCTAGGGACCGCAGACTTCGTTAGGCCGTGTGCAGCGAGGCTGTGGTCTGATAGCTGAACGCTCCAGTCTGAATCCAGGCCACCTGGCCTCAGACTTGCCCCTGCACTGAGCTCCAGGAAACAGTTGCTGGCCCTTGCCCCTGTTGGCAGGTGTGGACGGTTCTGCAGGTGCAGAGTGAGGCTTCTCCAAACTCTGGGCTGGAGGCCGAGGTCATGATCGTGTGCTGGGGTCAGAGATAAAGCACTTGTGTCTCGTGCCTAGGACCCGAGTCCCTGATCCCTTCTCTTCTGACCCCAGCCCATGCCTGTTCACGGTCTCCGTCCCGGTCACTTGCCTGTGGGTTGCTGTGTGACCGTGGCCCAGGTCAGGCGGCTTGCTCGCTGTTCCACATACACCGCGTTCCATCTCTCCCCTCCGTATCTTTGCATAGGCTGTCCCTTATGCCTGGAGTACACTCCCTCCTCACTGCCCCATCACAGAATCCCTCCTTGTGTTCCAAGCTCAACTCAGGGCCTCCTACCTGAGGCCTTTCCTGTGGATGTCAGTGAGTCCTGTGACCTCAAACTCAGGTGGCGTGTCTGCTCTGTGTCGTAGCCCAAATTTCTTCTGCTACCACTGTGTTTGTCTTTGCAAAGACCTGTTTACCTGATGGCCTGTTACTCTGGCTGAACCAGGATTGCATCCTCGGGTCTGGAGGTCCATAAGCAGCCTATTGCTCTCCCCTCCCCCATTCCCTTGTATTTACTGCGTGCACATCTTGTGATGCAGTCAGTGTAAGCTCCTCAGGGACAGGGAGGGTTTCATTTTTGCCCAGCACAGTGCCTGGTGTGTGGTAGGCTTTTTGTGTGTGTGTGCAGTAGGCTTTTCATGAATGCTTGTGGATGGTTTACTGGGTGTTTGAGCCCCATCATGACGTGGTGGATTGCCCAGATGGCCGGCCTCCGAGTCAGCGAGACCTGGATTTGAATCACCACCTGTGACATGTGTGACTATCACTTCTCAATGTCCTGACAGCTTTCTGAGTTGCAGGCAGGTTGCGCGTCTGTATCAGTGCAGGGTATTTCTCCCTACTCGTGACATTGCAGATCCGGACTGAAAAAGAAACATGCCAGGCCCCATAACTAGCTTTGAGGTGGGGCTGCTAAGAGGAGCGCAAGCCCCCAAGCCCACCATCTGCCCTCCGTCTCCTGGGCACGGGGGCCCGGCTGTGGCGCAGCTGTAAGTGGAAGGTCGTTTGAGGATGGACACTCGAGTGTTTGCAGGTGCCCCAGTAACCACTGCTGCCAAACAGGAAACAGGATTTAGAGTTTGAATTTCCTGGGTAGCTGTGACAGGTCCTAGAATTCTCACTGTCGCGTCGAGTGACATTGCTGGAACCGGGACTGCTTCTGTTTCTTCAGGCTTTTAGGTCTGCAAAGCCCCCTTCTCACCGCAGCCCAGATTATAGATTGGGAGACTGAGGCTCGGACTAGAGAAAGCAGCTCTCCAGGGTCACGCGCCTGGCAAGTGTCAGAGTCAGGCCTCTCCAGATTCCTAGTTCAGGGCTCTCTGTGATGCCACGCTGCCTTCCTCCTCATGACGCTGCTCATTCACGAATGGCCAACAGTAATGATAGCTCACAGATCTACATGCTCTGCCTCTGTGATCCCATCTGATCCTCACAACACCCTGTGAGGCTGGTGCGGTCATTATCACCATTGTATCATTGAGGAAACCTTGAGGCTCGGGGTAATGGAAAGACTGCTGGGCTTAGATAAGGGAGATGCCTGGACCCTAGCCCTTATTCTGGCACTTACTATTGTGTGCCCATGAGCCAGACTTTTGGGGATACCAGCCCTGCCCGCTGCCTCATTGCTGCAGAATCCTTGACAGCCACCTCAGGTCTCTTCAGTGACAGGGGAATCCCTAATGGGGTTGGATGTGACACATTTTAACAATTCCTTCTTTTAAAAATTTTATAATTTTTTTTTGTTTCTACATTGCCACAATTTCTCCCAGGATCTCTTTCCCTCCTCCTCTTACAGAGAGCCATACCATATAACAAACTATATATTTTTTAAATTTTTTATATCTATCTTATCTATCTATCTGTATACCCCTTATCTATCTATATGTATATCTATTTTATGTGTATATATATATATATATATATATATATAGAGAGAGAGAGAGAGAGAGAGAGAGAGAGAGAGATTTTAAATATTTTTTAAAAGAAAACTAAAGAAGTCTAAGAGGAAAACAGTCAGCAGAGCCAGTCAGTGCTTCCCCAAAGTCTGAACACGCCCGCCCTCTTTGGTAGCTGTGGATCGCCCAGCCAGCTCTGTGGAGGAGATTGTTGGGCGGGGGGAGGGAGTCTCTCTCATTTCTTTCTTTGGGCCAAGCTTGAAGCGCTGTGTCATTTTGCAGCATTCGCTTTCAGTCGTTTTGCTTGTGGTGGGTCTTCCCGTTTGTGTGGTTTTAGTTGTGTGTGTTGTTTTCTTGGCTCTCCTGACTTCACTTGGTGTCAGTTCATACAAGTCTTCTGGTGCTTCTCTGTAGTTATCATTTGCCTTTCCATTCACAAACCACTGTATGCTGAGCTGCTCCCTAGGCAGTTACGTGGGGGCTTCCAATTCCTTCTTTATCGTGGTATCAGAAGTCCACAGGCTCTTAGAGATGGAAGGGACTCCCGAGGGTGTCAGGTCCAGCAGTTCTCAAACTTGTTGATCTCAGGACCCCTTTATATACTTAAAAATTATTGAGGACCTCCCATCCCAAAGAGCATTTCTTTACATGGGCCGTATCTGTTGATATTTACCACATTAGAAATAAAAGTGCCTTAGTGTTATTATGGAAAGAGTTTTGGCCTCAAGGACCCATAAAAGGATGTCAAGGATCCCTCCTGTAGTGTCTTCCCCTGTCTGCCCCCTTCCTTGCTGAGGGGGATGTGGGCACAGAGCAGGCAAAGGTGTAAGACTGCAGAATACGGAGGATGATGGGCAGTCCTGCAGACGAGGGGTCAGAAGGGCAGCTTCTGGCCCTGCTTTGGCCACCGACTCACCCATTCTGTGCCCATGGCCCACATCACAGAGCCCCTCAAAGTCTCACTTCTCCCCTCTGCTCAGCCCAGACTCCTCCCAGCATGCCCTCAAACATGCCTCTGGGACCGGGGGCTGTCCCCTGCAAAGTGGTCACTGTGGGAGGCTCTGCATGCCCTTGCTCTGTACCTTGGCGTCTCAGAGCTGCAAAGGGGCACGCTGCCAGAGCATGTCTGAGGTGGCAGAGACCTGAACCCAAGGCCTCCTGGCTCTCTTCAGTGGCATAGTAGTGGCTGGGGTGGATTTTCAGAACTAGTTAGAACTTAGTCAGCACCAAGTCTGTTAATTTGGTGAAAGGTCCTAAAGAAACACCCCCAGTGGGGCCGGGATTAGCAATCACAGGTGATCCCCTTGGGGGAATACCGGAGAAGAGTAGGAGAGCGTGGGGGTGTGGGAAAGTGTGAAAGTGAGACCATGCAGTCCCTAGGCTTTCCTTGTTCCTCCTGTGACCCTTCCTCCTGTGAAGGGCTGTCTCAGAGAGGACCTTGGGTAGATATTGGCAGCAAAGGTTGGCCTTCTGAGGGGGTGGCCTCGAGAGCCCTGCCACATTCTAAGGTCTGTCCCAGCTCCAGATTTCTTCAATTCTGCCTTGACGGGGATAACACCCACGAATATTCACTTAATAGTTGTTGAATGAATGACACGTTTGTTAACTCAGCCTCATCATCACTTTATAGCCACATCTCAGATCTTCTCTTCTGATTTAGAGGAAGGCAGAGAGATGTTTTTGTCCCTGCTCAGTTTTAATTTTTACCAGTAGATCATCCAGTCTAATGGAGGAGACAGCATGCCAACAGCCATGTTCAAACAAGATTTAGAGATGGGATAAATTGGAGAAAATCGGCAGAGGGAGAGCCCTGGAATGCAGGGGGATGGGAATGGAGGAGAGGGGGAGGTGAGAAGAAGAGCATTCTGAGCCTGGGGGACAGCCAAGAAAAGGGTCTGGAGCTGGGAGACGGAGGAGCAACGAAACCGTGTCACCGGATTGTAGGGCACGTGTGGGTGAATGAGGTGTGAGGAGACTGGGGGTGGGGGGACGGAGGGCTTTGGAAGCTGACCAGAGCAGGGGCCAGCGGGAGCCACTGGGCTTTAGTGGGGAGGGGCTGACGTGGCTGGACCTGTGTTTTAGGGAAGTCACTTTGGTGACCCAGTGGTCAATGGGCTGGAGTGGGGGGAGACTTGAGGAAGACTGACTCGTGGCCCACTTAAAAAGTTTGCGCGTTTATAAAAACAAAACAAAATGAGGAGAAAT